CTTTAGCTAATCTGAAAATGAATATGCAGATAGATATTATAGTTATCAGTCTGTGTAGTGACCCTCTGCTTTCCAAGAAGCAGCCTGTTCTTTACTGAAATAGTTTACTGATTGTAGAAGCAGAATATCCCATTTTATGGATATACCCTTTCGCAAACAGACCACCTTCAATCATGCTAACGGCAGCCAGGAATATGAGTTACTTAATTAAAATAATGCCTTTTAATAATAGTAATTATGCAGAATCTTGAATTCATTTCAGCAATATTACCTCAACTAAATACCACCAGTGTTTTTATGAAATCACATGCTTGAGGTCACTATTTTGGCAGCCCAAGGAACAACAGCACAAAGCTGCTGACAATTTTAGATGTAAATAACATGCACTGCTTCAAGCCTAATAAGCTCTTTATGCAAAACTGAAGATTGGTGTATCAGTATACTACAAAGCTCGTTCTCCTGGATATCTGGCTAAGGAGTTTTTTATAGTCTTCTGACTATTTCAGAGTCCATAAACCTATTATCAACTGAATACCAGGATGAGGTTATGGGTTTTGCTATTAACGGTGCCAACAGTATATACAAATTATAGTTAGAATGCCACATGAATATGGCAAACAGTCAGAACATAAATTATAAGTGGCTTTTTGGCAGAAATCTCAGATCTATTTAACAATGTTTTATTTATACCTTTGCATTTGACTACACCTTTTATATGTCCTAATATGGTAAGGAAAATGAAAAAAAAAACAAAGGAAAAATGGCCTACACAAAATGTGGTTGTTAATGAGGCAGAAAGTAAAAGAAGAAGCCAAAATATATTTCTCCTGCTTTACATGGACAGCTCTGCAGGCCAGGCCCTGAAGGCACATTAAGTAGGCGCCAGGGATACAGAGCTGAAAAGGAATTACAATCACAAGCCAAGGCACCTCTCTGTAAGAATGTGGACTGAAAATGCACTAGTACTTTCAAGTAAATAGCATTACATGTATACTAATAGAAATCACATTAAAATGTATCTTTTCCACTATTGAAGGAAAGAAGTGTGCAGGTACTTACATTACAACTCTTGAAATGTTCATCATAATGATATAAAAATACCTGATCAATATAGAATTTAACCCATTAAAAATAATAAAGTCTACATTTGTTAGCTTACTATCATGAAAATATGTTTTGATGGATTTATCATACCACAACGTATGTAAGACAGCAATACATTTCTGGCAGAAGGAATGCTGCATTTGTTGAGAGACTGTTCTTAATTGGAGCCTCCTTGCATCACTATTTTAGTTGACATTCTTACTGAAGAATGTCAACTGCAGTAGTTCCCAGGCCCAATTAAAAAATATCACCGTGTAAGTAAAGCAAAATGATTACCTCACCAAGGCGCTAACAGATGGTAAAATATAATCACAGCTAACTCCTTCTTGGAATGGCAAATGTTTTATGACCCAATACATTTAAATACTACCCCTCCATCTCCCTGTGGGCTACTCTCAAAACTCTACTCCCAAAGTACAGATGTGAACCACATGACCCTCTGCGACAGACAGCTGCAAGTCATCCAGTACAAAGAATGCTTTCTTGGCAAAACTCTTCTATTAAAGCCGATACAGTTAATTGTTGAATTGTACATATCAGTCATCTCGGTAAAATTAGTGTAAAATGTTAGGCTCCCATTCAATAGTCTATCTGAAATAATTTTGCCATCCTGTCTAATACCAATCAAAGAATGCCTTGTGAAAAAGAGACAAAAGAACCTCTTACCCATTATCTTATTTATAGAATACAATTGATAGTCGTTTGAAATTGGCTGATAGCTCTCATGCATATGCCCCCTCCCCCCCTTAACAAAACCTAGAGAAATGGAATACATATGAGCTCTTTTTTCAGAGTAGTTTAGCTCATAAAAGACAGTGAAGAAACAGACCCCTCACTTGACTTGATAATGAGTGACTTGACTATGATAAACACTTAAAATTCAAGGTTGTATTATTTCAGTGTAAGATAAAGTCCTAAAATACTATTGGTTTTACAAGCATTAAACAAAAACTGATACATTTCAGTGTAAAAAATGTAAAAATCTTTCTCCTTTAAAATGATAGATGCAAGTGAGAAATAGTTCACAGGATCATTGAAAGCAGGTAAGTATGGAAACTCAATGGAGCCAACTATACAGTTGTCGAATTTCTCCACACAAAAACTGTTTTCTTCATGGTGATTTTAAATTCTATAGGGCTGCTCTTAGGGAATTCTTCACAATACTGACAGTCCGTTCATTTATTAAGACTGAAAATGACAGAGATCCTGAAGTGGGCGTTAAAATCACCTTTTCAGACATGCAATGATACCAGTACTATGACAGATATTTAAAAGAATAAACTTTTAAATAAAAGTTATTTTGAAAAAGGAAGGACACCAGAAAAAAATAGACCATGAAAGCATATAGTTCTAAAAGGTACTGACTTGCATGGCCTGGATTGGGCTACAACTAAATGAAGTGGAACATCCATGTTTGCCCCTGGATAAAGACCAGAGGATTAAAAGGTTGACATTTTACCATTCCTGCACCACAAAGGAACAAGGTCAATGAAACCTTATTCAAAGCCTTGCTCTGGTTCATTGTTTTTTTTCTAGCTTTTAAGGCAATCATTAAAGAAAGCTAAACTGAACACAGACCGAAACAGAGCCATGTTTCCCTTCTTGGCCTTCCTGGAATGAAAGGTAGGGTCACCCACTCTGGCACAAGAACTGTATTATGTTTGTAAAGGAAAGTAACAAAGGTAATGAGATAAACATGCACAAGAATTTGACCTCTGTGATCTAGATCAGAGACCAAGATTTGATATAAATCAGGGATCTAAATTCTGCACAAAATACCCTGTTACTTTTATCAGAAATGTTATCACAATTCTTTAAACTTTTTATTTTCATAGATCAATAATCCTTGGTTTCCTCAGTGCTATTGATACATTATTGCTATCCTATGGCTTTACTTGTCTTAAGACCTCACATTAGCCTAGCACTTAATAATGTTCCGACATAGTAGGGAATAACACAATCAGCCTTCTAATTTCTAAATAAGACCATACAATTTAATTGTGCTATGGGGATTATTCTTATGTCTCCACCAATGCTACATCTTCAAAACTCGACAATAGTTACTTTCATAGACATGTCACCTAATAACAGCAACCCTTTTACTTGTTTAACAGATTTGTTAATACTGTTAATCATTTTAAGGCTTTTTAAATATAACACATCTAAAGCATGGGTAGATCAGACTGCTTTTGGCACTCATTTGTCCAATTACATAACAGTAACATGAGAAGTCTCAGACCAGTTGTTCAAAGACCTTGAGACATGTGAATTATGATAAGCTATACATCACATTAAATCTGTAAAGAAACTCTATATACAACATTGTCTTTCCTGAAAGAAGACACATGAGTAAAGCAGTGTAAACTTCAGTACCCAAAAGTATGTTGGCAGATCCCTCTCTTGAATACCAGGGATGTTAATTACAGTAGCGAGAAACTTGCAACACAGCTATGGGCCTCTCCATCAATGTAGTGCCCCTTTTAAATCAAATGCTAATAGAGTGTAATTAATATTAGTTTACCAAGATCATTACAATAATGCTTTACTGTTAATCCAACATAGCAGGTACATGTTAGGTACATAAAGTGGTACTGTGCTAAAATTAACAGATGTTTCCACTTGAGAATAACAAAATAAACAGTGAAAGACTTTTGCAAAGCACCCAATCTGTTAGAAGAAAGATGTTCTAATGTTCCAAAAATGGAAAATCTAAAGGGCATCAGAAAAGTTAATGCTAAAAAGAATTTACTGTTTGAGAAATCTTATGATTTAAAACTGTCACATGTGCTGCCAATGCCTTCAAAACAAGTCCAAAGCACAGCCGACTTTTCTGTATTTATAGTGAAAAGGCTTTATGTCCACTTTCATAATCAGATGAAGCAGTTACTGGAATCTAAAATATGGCTCATGACTGCATAAAGGAAGCAATTTAAGTCTCATTTCAGACGTTTTATGTAAGCCTCAAAATTTTCAATGCAGTGATGCTCTACTGTTGGTATCAAGCTACTTTTCCCCAGAAGTGGACTATAAAAAAGTCATCTTGATGATGTTCACAAAAATATACAGGTGTGAATCGGACAGAAAAAAAGTATTCTGCCATAGCGCTGTTGAATTTTTATACAATACCTTTAGATTAGATTTCACAAAATATTCGGAGAAAAGAATAGTGGCTTCTTCTTAGAGGTGTTTCCAACTAGAATGGAAATGCCTCCAGGACTTACTTTTTAATTGTTTAATGAAAAAGTAGTTTTACCTTTATTTAGAGTTGGTACACACTGCATTGAAAGAGTAATCTACATGTTTAGGCACAATCTTTCTGTCTATTGCTTATATAACTGAATCAAGCCTGCAGCCTTCAACACTACTACCTTATAGAAAAGCAATTAATAACAGAAAAGCAATTAAGAAGTAAAATGCAATAGTAGCAAGAATAGTAATCCACACTACAAAGAATTTACATCTTCCACTATATCTTTCCTCTCGAATGTACTATGGCTAATTTGACTACAGTCAAAATTCTGTTGACTCAACTCTTAAACAAGATACCCCTTCAAAAACATGTAAAATCAAACATTAGAAAAGAGACTGCTTTAAAATCCAACTAAATACATGATATACAGTATATTTTGTTGTGCATTCCAGAAAAAGCACGATTATTGTTTACACTAATATGGCTAAGCCCCAACACAATCAAGCTTTTAAATCTTTTAGGCTGCTAAATTACAACTAGAACTCTCATTTAAGAAGTCAGGGTGTCACACTCACATGTGGGAAAGCAAAATTTAAACCCTGCAAGAAAATAATTACTCCTCCTAGTCAAGGTGGAACACATAAAGACAGACAGGTGGGCACTTGGTTAAAACGTATCCTGAAGATGCATTTTAACCTGTGCTTACCTTTTGTGTTACTAACTGACAAGCACTGATACGCATGATCCTTCTCAGGGAGAGAGTCACATGACACCGGCAGGCGGCCCTCATGGAGGTGCATCCAGCAGCCATCACGGAGAGTCTCGCAGAAACTGCGGCAGGGCAGAGCTGGCGCCAGGCCTACCGTGCCACACTTGGGCACCAGCAGCAAGCAGAAAAACCTCTCCAAGCTATGGTGGCAACGAGATTTCAAGAGCCACGCCCACTCAAGCAAAGTAGCCTGGACCTCCAACACACTGGTGTGATTTAGATAATTCGGTAAAGCAAAGCTCTCAATGCCCATGTTGGTGCAAAATGGCAAATCAGCAGCCATAGGCAAGCAGCGGGAAGATTCCAGAAAAGAGGCACTGCTATCTACAAGAGACTCCGTGCTTTTAGTATAGGTTAGTAAATCAGAATAATTACCAGAGAGCCTCACCACTTGATTAGTTGCATTCCAGCTAAAACTACTAGAGCTAGAGCTGCTATTCCTACTGAAACCAGTTCTGGCTATCCCAAGATGCTCAGAAAAATTAAGGCTTTGGCTTGACTGGTTGTCAATATGGTTACCCGTGTGGCCAGTAACATTCTCCTCAGCCGTCCCATTGCGGTTGTCCACAGAAGTTAAAGATATCTCTGCCTTTGAATTCCCAACATATGTGCTGACATTTTCAGCAAAATCCTGTATTTCAGAAATATTTCCCACTGGCAAAAGCCCTCCAGTTGTGATGTTGCCATGATAGAATGTAGTGTTTTTCTTTTGTGGAAGATCAGCTTCATCCTGGCTCTCTCCCATTGATGATCCACTTTCTCCACTTTCTCCATCGCCAGATAACTCCCATTTACCAGCACCTGTAATCTCCATCTGTGAAGTACTATTAAATAACTCATGTCCTTCTAAAAAGTGCTTCGTAGCTGGCAGTGAGGGTGAAACTTTTGATTCGGTAGTGACTTCCAATTTCCAGGCAGCAGTGGAAGTCATGACCTTGTCTGTTGCATGTGTATCAGGCACCGTTGATATGACTTCTGTTTGAGTACTTCCCTGCTCTTGTTTAGTGGTGGTCAATTTTTGCACGTTTGTGTCTGAGGTTTGGTCCCAGGTCTGAACAAAATTGCGAATCCCACTAGCAACTTCAATTATCTCTGCACCTACTCCAGCAAGGTTTTCTTCTGTTGCAGACTCAGGTGTGCCACTTGTAAAAACTGCATCCTGCTCCACGTTATTTGTGACTCCAATGGCAGATGTTCCCAGACTTGTAGTGCTTAGAAATTCCTGAGGAAGGGTTGTTTCCAACTCAGGTGCTTTTGTGGTTGGATCAGGTTTACGGTACCAAGGCCAGTACCACTGGGCTTCTGTAGAGCCAACATAAGCCAGCAGGAGCAGGGAAAAACTCAACAAGCTCCAAAACATAGCCATCAAGACACAAGATAAATCACTCAGCAGCCTTCTTAGAGTCCCACAGATAATATTGACATGCCCTCTACCATTCACAGCATAAACTCCCTCTTCTAGCTAACAGCAGAAACACCAGTGAGAGAGAGAGAGTGTGGAAGAAAAAGTTAAAAGGAGGAGTGTCCTGTTCAATGAAAAAAAGGAATAACTTCTTTCTTATTGGTTGTTCTCCAGAACTTTTTTTCCCTTTCTCTTCTCATTGACTACCTTTTCAAAACACAGCTGTTAAATCCTAAATGATAATGTTCATACATCTGTGATGTTCAAAGAAATTTCTCTCCATTATTGCATTAAGTAGTTTATGTCACCAGGCTTACATTCTTTGGGCCCGCACCTTTCAAAGATATTCTTGTAGCTCTCATACAAAAAACAAATGAAAACTTTTCACCTCAAAAAAAGGAAATAAGGTGGGGTAATGAATACTGGTTATTAAAAATCATCAGTTTGCAAAACCACAATTGTAGAATCTAAATTACAAACCATCGCCACAAAATTATCAACTTTACATGCTTTGTAACTAAAACAAAGACTTTTGATGCTAAGAAAAACAGATTACCTTGATTTATTTATAACTTTTAAAATTAATAACAGACCGCTGTAAAAAAAAAAAAAACATTTAAAGAATCCTTCTTGGCAGCTGCCAAAAGAATTCTAAACCAAAACCATTTTTTTTTCATTTTCCAGCACTCTATAACATGTATATTCTTTTGAAAAATTCTTATCATCACATGCAAATCGTTAAACATCTAGAAACACAAAAACAAACAACAAAATGAAATCAGCTCATTTTCATTTAAGACATTGTGGGTCTTTAAATTTTATCAGTCTACAACTGGATTTTTATAGCAAATCTATTGGTGTTCTAAGCTAGGTTTTTAAAACTAAAAAGCTCCTGCAATAATATTAGATATTTGGACTTTTCAACAGTTCTAAATGTTTGGAGCATGATTTTACCGATTAGAGCCTTTGAAACCCCTTAAACTTGATGGGTTTTCTTTCCACTCAAAATCTCTATTATACAAACTTGATAATTTCCTTAACTGCAAACTTTTTGATAATTTCATCTACTCAAAAGATATATATATGGTTAAGTTATTATTATATAGTTGAGAGCCCAATTGTAATTTAGTCTAAAAAAAGAAATATTGAGTATTTGGATGGATATAAAATATTTTATAAATATTTCATAAAATAACAATGCTGCTTGCACCCATGGTCTTCAGAGTAGAACCTTATTATAGACATTACTGTAAGTCCACTGGACTACTTCAGAATTCCTGACAACTTTATCCTCTGACATGACAAGATTTCAAATGCAGCTATTACTCACTCAAGTGCCATTTACAGAACACGTTTAAAGGGGAACTGCAGTCCCCAATTCTCAGACTGGTTATTAAATCACAGTAACAAAATAAATTCATTGATGGTGTTTTTTTTTTATTTAGAATTATGTATAACATCATGAACTTAGTGAAAGTCCTGTATGTGTATCTGTGGGATCCCCATTTTGTCACAAACTCCTGGGGATCCCACAGATTGTGATGTGATGCAGCCTTTCCTGATCACTAGTCACCATTATGACTAATGTAATGTGATGTACAAGCGAATAAGAACAGGTTGTGCAGCAGACATTTCACAGCAGAAATGTTCCAACATGATCTGCATGCAAACGTAACAAGTATTTGTCAGCAAAACTGTCTCAAAGCTGAAAGCAATATTTCTATTGGATTAAAAGAGATGTATTCACAAGTCAAAGTAATTTGGCCACTTCACATCACCTATTTTGGTTTTGGTGCTTCATTCCGAATCACAGAATATGGCTCTACGCACACCTTGAAACCACCTTAACCACCTTTTTGTGGTTTGAAATGCATTCATCAGTATTGATTCTTTCTAACCCCCAAATATCCAAAAGTACCATCCAATTACATTTCTGAAGGAAATTTATTGGCAGTTTCAGTATATTTAATTTTCAAGGTACCATGAATCTTCCATACTTCCGAATAGTGCTTTACAAATACTCACTATAATATCAATTTACCACAGGTTCCCTAAGCCACAGTTACTTAATCCAAATGCGTATAGCCAAAAATGTAGTTAAAGGCAATGTGAATCACTGAAATTGATTATTTTTACTTTTTACTTGATTTGTATAAAATCTGTAAACTATGATTTCTCTTTTTTAAATGAAGGAGCTATAAACAGAAGAAATTCCATTTCTATGACATGCTTAAATTTAAGGAATTTATCGAAAGGGAGATAGAAACCTATCTCTCAGACCTTCTGTAAATGACCCCTAATCAGGACTCACACTCCCCTAAAAGGGCACAAATTTAGAGCACAAAGGAATGCTGATTGATGTAAAAAGACCTCCTCCAGGATATGTGACCCTGTCACACCCCTGAGGATGTAACAATGATTGGTTATACTCTCAGACAGCCACTAGTTAGAAGAAATGTCAAGACTTAGTGCCTTTTTGTTTTACACAAAGCATTCCATACAGTTTCAGATATTATCAACATCCACTCTCCCGACAATAGTGAATTGCAATTCATGCAATGTGAATTGAAGGGGTGTAAGATGAGAAATTTCTCGGAAAAGTTCCATGATTTAGAAAAAGAAATATCCCTAACTAGTTTGAAAAAGTAAAAAACATAGAAAATAATTTGTGGGTCTCACAATAAACTCCAGCAGGTATTTCCGACAAAAATACTATAACATAGTATTGCATTTCCCCTTTAACATGCAGACTGCATAAAACTGTGACAAATACTTTTCAAAAGTACCATCCAATTACATTTCTGAAGGAAATTGATTGGCAGTTTCAGTATATTTAATTTTTTTTTTTGGTTAAGGTACCATGCATCTTCCATACTTCCGAATAGTGCTTTACAAATATTCACTATAATATCAATTTACCACAGGTTCCCTAAACCAGTTACTTAATCCAAATTCGTATAGCCAAAAATGTAGTTAAAAACAAAAACACGGGTCACTTTCAAATTTAGTTTTGATACAATTATTAAGGACTCATGAGCATGGACATTGAGCTAAACCCTATTAAATCTTATATAATAAATTCTAATTTCCTATTTACTGGTGGAGTAAAATGTTAATCCAGCTCAATTTGTTACTATAATCATTTACCATCTCATACAAGCAGTAAAAAGTAAAAAACACCCAAATAATTTACTCAGCTATGAAACAGGGAATAATACATCACATCGCCTTCAATAACCATGTATCTAATTCATGGTCACAGTGGCCCAGAGACTGTCCCAGGAAGGGACAGGAAGGGCACAAGGCAGAATACACCCTGGATGGGACACTAGTCCATCAGAGGGCAGACAAACACAAACACGCACACACTCACTCCAGGGCTGATTTTCCCAGAAACCAATTAACCTACCAGCATGTCTTTGGACTGTGGGAGAAAACTGGAGCCCTTGGAGAAAACCCACACAAACACATTAAAACATACAGTGCAAACTTCACACAGATAGCACCTCAGGAATTGAACCAAGGGCCCCAGCACTGTGAGGCAGCAATGCTAACCACTACCCCACTCTGCTGGCCTGGGAGTAATACATAAAATACAAAATCATCCCAGTTCCTTCTTTTTTTCACATTTATGAATCACATTATTTAGAGGATGATTTAAAGGGAGCTTCCTTTTGTGGCTGCCTTATTTCTCCATGGGCTTCTCAAGGTTATATTACTCCCAAGATGAATTTTGAAAGAGACAAAACTGTGCACATTTTTTCCCAGCTTTATTATAGAGTTGTCTGCTCATCTGGTTGAGTTATCTGGCAGAAAGTCTTCAACATCTGTTTGTGATAAAATGCTAAATACAGTGAACACACTTGAGTCTACATGTACAATCTTCTGTCTATAGTTCTACTGTCTATAGTATAAACATATCCAGCTGCTGTTCTACATCTGCTGAAAAAGCATCCAAAGTGACCTGTTAAAAGTTTCAGAGATCCTTTAAGTATTGTGTGCTGCCTCCAAAACTTGAATGCTAATTCTTCATTGATGCAGCAGACCCTACACATCGACAGCCACAACAATATAAATGATCAGGCATGGTATTGTAGTCATTACATGATTTATTAAACAACAAACTATGTTAACAGAGCTGTAAACTGCAGAACAAATGTACCCAAACATGTGTAATCCTTTAAGTAGGATCTCTCCTCCCACAGATCTGATGTTATGTAATAGGAAACGTGGAACACAGCAAAAGAGAAATACATTAGAGAAGAGTTTCCTGTAACAAAATGTTAAAATCAGGCATATGAATGTTTAACAACATGCATGGTAACAACAGACTAAATACAAAAAATAAACAACTAACAATAAAAATAAACTATCAATTGCTCAGCCAAATAGTGCTTTTTAAAGGAGTGATTTAAATTGAAAAAGTTTACAATTTAAGACTATTTACAGAATAAAAGCAGCAATAATGCAGTATCATTCCTAAATCTAGCCCCAGATAAAAAAAATAAAATAAACCTACAGGGAACTGCCAAAATAAAGGAAAAACTCAAGTAAATATATAAAAAGTATACTGAAAGCAGTATGCATATTGAAAGCCATGGTTCTTCAGGTATTAAAGCAATTAACATCACATCATGCATTGGGTCATGGATAAAAATGCTGGGCAGGCCCAGTTGCCCAGTATTGTGGCAGGAATGATTAGAAGAAGAAATCTCAGCAACTTTTGGAAGGAGAATCAGTGATAAAGACTACTCATCGTGCTGTTGTTTCATGAAGAACAGTGACCAAGGGTGATGCTGGCATGGAAGTCTGAGGAAGGACATCCTTAACTAGGGGCAACTGTGAACAAAACCACATACTTCTCCCCCGTGATGCCCATACATTGGTTCAAAATACCAGGCAAAATAGACTCATAACTCTGAAGCATAAGCAGGCAGTTTCATCAAGTACAGTCTGTCAAGAACTTCACAGAGAGGTATACTATGGTCGTGTTTCAGTGCATTAACTCTTTATCACACCCTAAAATTGTTTGGTATAAAAGAACACAAGCAGTGATATACTGAGCA